ATTGATTTTCCTTCTCTCAGCTTCCTTTCTCATCCCCATTCAAGATTCTAAATCCCTCAGGGACGGATTACATCTAGAACCCCCTTTGTATGCATGGCACAGGGCTGGCCCCCTAAAAGATGCTCAGAGAGTATTTGCTGCCTGCCCGAATGAATGAATGAATGAATGAATGAGTAAGTGACAGCCACTTCAAAGAGGCAGGGCCTAGGTTTTCTTCACCTCAGTATTGTTCTGCCCAGTGCAAGTCCCACACGTTGTCCTCTGTTTGTTTATGGGGTAAGGGGCCTCCTGGGCACTGCTCATCCTCCTCTCCCTCCTCGCCCCTTCTCTCTCTCTGTGATTACAGCCCCTCCTAGGGTAGAATCAAAGTAGATCTGGGCACTGGGGAGAAGCAGGCCTTTGCTTCTGTTCCTGCTTGGGGGTGGGGGCTGTACAGAGTGAGGCTGAGGATGCAAGCTCTGGTGGGGATTGACACCCTCGTCTCTGCCACCTAAAAGCTGTGTGACCTTGTGCAGGTTACCTCCCCTCCTTGTGACCATTTCTTAGTCTGTAAAATGGGGCTAAAAAACGGACCCCACCACAGAGGCTGCTAGGAAGATGTGGTGAGGTGTCACAGACAGGACGCACAGGGGCGTGGCACCGGGAGCATTCAGTAACTGCACTGCTATTCTTAGTGCTCAGACAGGCATTGTTATTTTCAAGTTCTCCCCTCCCACGGGCCTGGGGGGGTTCCTAAAGCCCCCTGCAGCCAGACAGGCAGGGAGAGATGACAAAAGGCAGGCAGGGCCAAAGGCCTCAATTCTCCCGTTCTTTTAATAAAAATAAAGACAGCCTTTAGACATCCTCCTCCTATGCATTGTTCTGCCAAGGCAGCAGCACAGACTTAATTCCTCCTTGGACCTGGAAAGTTCCTTCCTTTCTTTCCCCTCCCCTGTCACATTTCCTTTATCTAAATCCTTAGCTATGAAAGAGCATATCGACAACTGGGGGTGTTATCTGGTGGAGGGGACCTTTTCCTAGGGGTGCCTCTGAGATAAGGCGTCTTATCAGCCCCCATGTCAGGGACAGTGCCAAAGCATTCTAATCATTGAGGCTTGCGACATTTTCCTCTCCTTACCCCCCCCCCCCTTTTATTATTAAAGTCACAAAGGACCTTGGGCTTATAAACAGCCCGATTTGCAGATAGGGTTTCAAAGTGAGCAGCACTCCCAGGATGGTCCCTGGCGGGGGGAGTTTGGGTGGGGGCTGTGTTTCTGCAGATGGGATGTTGCTAACCAGAGAGGGGCAGGGTGGTGTCATGGGAAGGTCATGAGTGTTTTAGGTGCCTGCCCCAGTCCTGTCCCCAGCTTGCTGTGTGACCCTGTGCAGGGTGCTTAGCTTCTCTGGGCCTCAGGCCTTCATCTGACTATAACCAATTCATTGATTTAGCCATTCATTCAACGCTGGTTTATTAAATGGTTACTCTTTGCCAGGCACTGGGTAGAAAGAAACAAATAAGACATGGTCCTTGCCCTTAAGATAGAGTCCAGTGGAGACAGACAGACGTGAAAATTGGCAGTTACAACTCGGCGAGATTAGGGCTGTGAGGAGGGGATGCCCAGAGAAGGGGGGCCAGAGTCTGAGTTAAGACAGGGTGGCAGTGCTGTGGGCAGAGGGACCAGCACTGGCAAAGGTTTGGAGGAGTGAGGCAGCCAGGCTAGAGGGAGGGCTAGGAGGACGGTAGGAGGGAGAGGTGACAGACAGGTCACAGGGGCCCTGAGGGCCAGACAGTGAGGGTTGGGCTCCATTCTGAAGCCAGAGAGAAATGCCAGGGCCCAGGAGAAGGATCTTCGTCTTAATGTAGACAATGGGGATGATTCAGAAGCTGGAGGTGGTGGTCCACTCATGCATGGCTGGGCCCTGCCCCAGCCACAGGGCACAGGGTTCCTGGGAGAATGGGCAGTGAGTTAGGGTAACAGGGGAAGGGTGCAGCGAGAAATCCCTCTTCTCCAAGAGAAGACCGCCTGCCTGCTGGGCCTCCAGAAGCTGGGGATGAATCCAGGCTGCTGCCCTAGAAAAGGTGAGCTGAGGCCTTCAGGGAAAATCTGTGGCCCTAGCTGGGGTAGGTGACCTCTCGGGTCCCAGAAGGGCCTGGGCACCCACCATCAGAGCACTCTGAACACCAGAGCCCCACTGGGAGGGCAGGTGAAATGTACAGAGAGGCCCCAGAATAGGCAGCCTGCCCCTCACCTGCTAACAACTGTAGCCCCCCGTCTGCCCTTTCAACTGCAAAGCATGCTGGGATGTGTGGCCCCTGGGGACTTGTGGGGTGGGGGCTGGAAAGGGGCTAAGCTTCTGGGCCCCGGGCACCCGGTGAAAGGCCAGAGGTAGAGCTCCAGAGATGGGGTGGGGCACGGGCAGGACCCTGGGTGGGTTCATGGAGCCAGTTCTGTGAGAGGGGCAGTAGCTTCCCTGGGCTCACACAGTGGGTACTGGCTGGGGGAGGTTGCTGGCCTCCCTCCTCCCTGGCCCAGCGCTGCCCTGGGCTGTGGGCAGCAGTGCAGCCCAGTGGTGAGAGGGCAGGCTTACCCCAGCCACTGCTTGCTGGGTGGCCCTGGGCAGGGTGCTACTTTTTTCAGGCTTGAGTTTCCCCATCTATGGAGGGAGAGGCTTGGGCCCTACAGCCAGCTGGCCCTCTCTAGGTTCCCCCTTTGTCCCCTCATCCCTGCATCAGGGCAGCCAGAGGTGGACACTGCACTGGGTGTGGGGAGCCACAGGCCTCTCACCTTCCAGGTGTGCACATGATTGTGCGTGTCCGTGGACTGCATGCATGTGTGTGAGGGTGCCGGAGCGCACGGAGGGGTGTGTCGCATGGTATGGGTGAGGGAGGGACAGCAGTGTGCCCATCTGCAGGAAAGCATACGCAGTGAGTGAGTACAGGCACGTGTGGGCACCCAGCACCCCGGCTGCATGTCCGAATGTCCCCGGGTGTCCGAGCCAGCCCGAGCGTGCCAGTGTGTGCAGGTGTGTCTTAAAGGGCCGCTTCTAGGCCTGCTCATGTCCCAAGTCCCCAAGAAGCCGCACTTCGTTCCCGCAGTCAAGGGCTTTCATCTCTGCAATAAACCCACTTCATTCCCTTTTTAAACTGTATAATTTCTGCCTGATTGTAATGGCATATTTTACAATTACCAGAAATCAAAGCTGGGAAGTGGATACTGTAGCTTTTATTGCGTCGCTGCGTTAAGGCTGTCGATTGTGGGGGAGGGGGAGGATGAGAACCACCTACCCTCCCCATCCATCCCTTCTCCCCCTCTCTCTCCCTCTCTCTCTCCCCAGTAATAGGAGAAAATTGGTTTTGAAACTGAATAAAAGTCCCTTTCAGTGTAAATCATTTCTTTCAGGGTACCTTTGCTGAAAGTAAAATAGAGCATAATGAAAGGTGGTTACGTGATTGTCTTTCATTTACCGAGAGGCCAGGACAGACAGGAGGCTGCAACCGTCTCGGGGAAATACAAGATTGGAATAATTGCGCGGTAACAAGGAGCTTGTTGTGAAATTAGTATCTTAAGAAAGTAGTGGAAAAAGGCTTTTCCTCATGAATACTTCATTATTAGAAGAAAGCGGCAGAATTTAGGGCTCCAGACACCTGTTTAGTATTAAATAACTTCCTTTTCTTCCCCCCACACACACATTCACTCTCTCTTTCTCTCTCTCTCTTCCTCTCCTCTTTTCTTTTTATTTTTTAAAACAATTTTTTATTGATTTTAGAGAGGAAGAGAGAGAGAGATAGAAACATCGATGAGAGAATCGATTGGCTGCCCCCTGCATTCCCCCCACTGGGCATCTGGCCCACACCCTGGCATGTGCCCTGACTGGGAATCAAACTGGCGACCTCTTGGTGCATGGGTTAATGCTCAACCACTGAGCCACACAGGCCAGGCTTCTCTTTCTTTTTTAAAACCAGCATGAGGATTGAGTTGGCGCTGCTTGGGACTCAGGTGGTGGGGTGGGTGCCAGGGCTGGGTGGACATCGGGGTGTCCAGGGTTCAGCTCGTACCTGAGTCTGCCGTTTCCTTACTGGGAAGAGAGGAAAGGAGGGACCCGGCAGAGGAACTCCCACCCTGTCCCCCTGGCCTCCAGGGCAGGGCCTGCCCGTGTCACCCAGCTCCTCAGGGACCAGTTCTTGGGAAGGTGGATTTTGTGAAGAAAAGATGTGTGTTTCCATGTGAACACTGGGCATCTGACTGGGTGAGCCAGCAGATGTCCCGTCTGGAGCCACATCTGAGCTGCTGCCTGTGGAGACCTCTGCCGGGCCTGGCAGGGCTGCCCTGGGAGGCCCTGCCCTGTCCAGTTGGCGTAGGGAGCTGGGTCAGGAAGCCATGGTCGCCCTTGGGGCCTGGGCTCAGGGCTCCGTCTAAGGTCAGGGCCAGGCTCAGCATGGGTCAGGGCTGCAGCCGCCCTGGTTCTCGCAGGGACACGTCCCGGACGGCTCCCCTCCAGGGGTGCTGGGAGAATGCCACAGGCAAGGGGCAGACCAGCTGCCATCAGCTGGGGCACCCAGGTACTCACTGCCAGTTCCTGGGCACCCCTCCCTGCAGGTTCCAAAGATGACCAGATGGGGTCTTCGCCCTTGATGAGCTCCAGGCTGGAGGGGGGTGTGTACAGGCCCGTTTGCTGGCGGTCGTGCGGGAGCTGGGAGGAGAGCCTGCGGAGGAAACACAGCGGGCTGAGAACATGAGACTCCCAGGGGCCTGAGGGCATGGGGTAGCCCCTGGAGGAGGGGACCCGCACTCTGAGCAGTCAGTTCTGGCCTCATCATGGTAGAAGTCCACCACTCAGGAGACTCGGATCTTTTCCTTCCTGTAAGGCCACGGGTGAGCCTCTTGGTGCCCCAGCCTCAGTTTCTCATCTGTCTGATAAGGGAGAAAGGGAGTCTGCTTTGAAAGTCTCTGGTCTTCTGGGTGGCGGGAGGCGGGCATGGAGCAGCGCATGTGACAAGTACCTCGCCTCCACCCTCACAGGGACCCTGCCACAGAGAGTGCCACGCCGCGGGCCCCCAGCTCAGCCATGCTGGCCTGTCTGCAGAGGACCCAGAACCCGCCTGGCCAACACCTGGCCTGCCCGAGCAAGAGCCTGGAGCTGCGCAAGTGTGAGTGGGCACCCTCCCCCCCCTCTCCTGCCCATTCTCAGTCCACAGGGCTTGCTTTCTATTTCGGACATACCAAGCTTTTCCCATCTCAGGCCTTTGCAGGGCATTTCCTGGGCAGGAAATGCCATCCACACTCCATGATGTCCACCCACCCTGACCCTGTCTTGAACTCTCCATGTCTAGGCCTTTACCCAGGCTGTGCTGCCTCCCTAGAGTCCCTCCCCAATAGTGACACCCACTCCCTTTGTCTGGCCAACTCCCACTGGGTATGACCTCCTTCCTAGCAGCCTTCTCTGACCACTACCAGCACTATGGCTCCAGCCCCAGCCCCTCCTGTGACCGTACCATGGGCCATGTTTGTCTTACTCACCAGCATACTCCTGCGTTAGCAGAGAGTAGGATAATGTGGAATAAAAGTCCCGAGTGTGATCCCAGCTCAGGGCCTGATTTGCTGTGTGACCTCAGGCATTTCCTTTCCCTCTCTGGGCCTCGCTTTTTCCTTGTGTTAAACTAGGGAGCTGAACTTGGTACCCCTAAGCATCTGTCCTCCTTGACCACCTAGGACGGGGTTAGGGGGAGGGATCCCAAATCCTCTGATCTGATTTTTTGTAGCCACCCTAGGGTTGGGTATTTTTTTTCTTGTTTGTTTTTAATTTTGAAGTATTTGGAAACATTTAAAAACATGGAATTTAAATCGAAACATGGATTTCTAGTCTCTCTTGAAAAAAAGAAAAAAACATCAGAGGATCTGGTAATAGAGGCTGTGTTCCTGTTACAGAGCTGTTGGTTAGAACTGAACTGTTGCCTCTTAAAGGGGACACATCTCCAGAATTTTGCAACTGTCACCGCCGTCAGTTTTAGCATTTTATCACTTCAAGAAGAAACCACTTCTTAACCATTAGCAGTCACCCCCTTATCCTCCCGCCCCCTTGCTCTTCTCTGTAGAGTCCCCTATTCTGGGCTTTCATAAGAAGGGAATCATATAATAGGTGGCCTTTTGTGACCGGCTTCTTTCACTTAGTATAATGTTTTCAAGGTTCACCCATCTTGTAGCACGTGTATAACACATTGTAACATTTACTGATGCGTGTTGTTCCTTATTATTAATCCTCCCGCCACGCAGAATTTCCTTGGCTGGTCTCTTTATTCTTCTGTCTGAACTATGGAATCAATTTATCTAGGTAAGAACAAAAATCCTGTTTGTGTTTTTACTGGGACTGCATTCCATTTATAAATTAATGTAGGAAGAAATGGCATTTTTATGATGATGTCTTTCCTTCCGAGAACATGATATAAACCTTTCTGTGTGTTCTGACTTCCTTATGCGTCCCTTGGGAATGTTTTAGTATTTGCTTCATTTAGATCTTACACATTTTTTTAGTTTACTTTTGGATAGTTAACCTTTCTTGGCAAGTTTTTTCTTTCATAAATGGAGGTTATTTATATAAAGGCTATTAACTCCCACCACCTTACAGAAATCTTTTGTTTGTAATGGTTTTTTAATTGAGTCTCTTAGGTTTTCCAGTTATACTATCATATCTTTTGCAAATGATAATTTTACTTCCTACTTTGGAATTTCTATACGTAAATATCTTTGTCTTGTTTAATAGTGTTGGCTACTATCCCTGGAACAATGAAAAATAATAATGGTGCTAACAGACATTCTTGCTTTGTCCCTGACTTTTAACGAGAAGCTTTTAAGATTTTCCCATTAGCAAAATGCTGGATTGTGGCAGCTATTTTGTCAGGTTAAATACATGTCCATCTATTCTTGTTTTATTAAGAAATTTAAAAATCAAGAATGGAAGTTGAAGTTTACCAAATGACTTTTCAGTGTCTCTGAAGATAATCATACGGGTTTTTCCTTTGCTCTATTGATATGAATAATGATACAACTTTCTTAATATCAACCCATCCTTGCATTCCTAGTTGAATCCCATTTGGTTATGGTGAATCTTTCTTTATAATATACTACTGAGGAATTGGATTTGCTCTTTTACTTAGGAGTTTTGCCTCAATTTCATCAATGAGAGTAGTCTTCAGTTTTGTTGGTTTTTTTTAGAACCATTTTTGTTGGGTTTTGCTATCAGTGTTATGCTCACTTCATAAAGAGAATGAGGTTTGCTTCAGATTACCTGTTCTTTAAAGATTGGTTGACCCTCTATTAAACCGTCTGGTCGAGTGCATTTATTTGGGGCTGGTGGATAGCTCTTTGATAATGTTCTGGTTCTTCTGTAATAATTTATCTGTTTTCATCGTTCTGCTTCTTGCATGAGTCTGATAAATTATATTCCTCTAGAAAAGTATTCATTTTATCCAGGTTTTCAAATGTATTTGCATGAGGCTGAACAAAATGATTTACAATTCCTTTATTAATTCACCCTTATTCTTATATTGTATATTTTGTGGGAGGGGGTTCCCCCTGATTAGGTTAGTTAGCTGATGACGTTATCCCACCCCCTTGTCCCAAAGATCCATATTTAGGATGTATTAGTAATTACCCTTTCTGGTCTCCAATTCATTAATTTATGCTAATATCTTTATTAAAATCTTCCTACTTTCCTTGTTTTTTGTTTTTGTTTTTTTTCCCTCACCCGAGGATATTTTTCCATTTTTTGTACAGATAGAGTGGGAGGGAGAGAGAGGAAGGGAGAGAGAGAGAGAAATATCGATGTGAAGAGACACATCGAGTGGCTGCCACCCGCACGACCAACCAGGGCCGGGGACAAACTGCAACCGAAGTACGTGCCCTTAGCGGGAACCGAACCCGGGTCTCTCCAGACCGCAGGCCGACGCTCTAACCGCTGAGCCAAACTGGCCAGGGCCTTGTTTTTGTTTTTTAATTGAGTTAGAGGCTTAAATCTTTATACTGATAAACAAGAAAAATGAATATTAAGGCTATGAATTCTCTGAACACTGTTTTAGCTATCTCTATAGGTTCTAATGTGTAGTCTTTTTATTATCATTTTTCCTAGATATTTTATAATTTTGGCTTTGATTTCTTCTTTGACCTAAGGCTCCTTTGAGTTCCATTTTTCCACCCACACAGTAGGTGCTTTAGTGTTTTGTTTTTCTAGTTTTATTGCATTTTGATCAAAATGTTGTCTATGATTTCTACTCTTTTGGATTTTGTTAATAATCTATGGTCATTTTTTGCGAGTTTTGAGACTTTTAATGGGGATTTGAAAAGATGGTGTGGTTTTCAGGATGCAGAGTTTGATGTATACCAATTCTATCAACCTCATTACTTATGTTAGTTAGGTCTTCTGTATCCTCCCCTGTCATGGAGAGAGACAGAAATGAGATGCCCACTGCTAATGTGTTCTAGTCTATTTCTTCTTGTAGCACTTACAGTTTCGGCCTTACGAATGGTGATGCAATGTTATTCCACATGAAGATATTAATATGTTCAATCTTCAGAGTGAATTGAATCTTTATGATATTTAATACTTTGGGGGCAGATTTGATTTTATCTGTTCAGATAGTAACCTCTTCTCTTTTAATTCACATTTTTTCTTGAAACCTTGGCCAGTCCTTTTATTTCAACCTTTCTGAATCACTTTGCTGAGATGTGACTCATATACTGTAGAGTTGGATTAAGCTTTGTGATTCCATCTGAATGCCTCTTTAAAATTTCTGAGAGCTTAGCCCATTTACATTTATTGATATGACAGATGTCCCATCTTAGTTCTTTTTGTGCTGTGCTGTAATTGCTTTTAAAAGTCTTTCCCTGTGTGACCCGTGTTCTCTGCTTTGTTTTGCGCACCTACTAATCATGAGGGAGGTTGGTGCCTTTGTTCTAGTGGGGGAACTTTAAATAATACCCTCATTTTCTGTTTCTGTGGAACAGTATCCATTACTTTCCCTCAGATGAACAAAATGATGCAATTAGTGTACAGTTGACACTTGAACAACACAGGTCTACTTACATGTGGATTTTTAAAAATACGTATAGTACTGTAAGTGTATTTTCTCTTCCTTATGATGTTCTCAGTGACACTTTCTTTTCTCCAGCTTGCTTTGTTGTAAGAATACATACAACGTACAAAATATGTTAATCAACTGTTTATATTATCAGTAAGACTTCGAGTCAACAGCAGGCCATCGGTAATTAAGTTTTTGGGGAGTCAAAGTTTTATGTGGATTCTTTTTTTTTAGAGAGAGACACACACATCAGTTGGTTGCCTCCCATACGACCCCAACTGGGACCAGGGATTGAACCTGCAACCCAGGTACATGCCCTTGACCGGGAATCGAACCTGTGACTCTCCGGTCTGCAAGCCAGTGCTCCAACCGCTGAGCCACACCTGCCAGGGCTTATGTGGATTTTTGACTCTTATGTGTGCGGCGGGAAAGGGGGGTGGCAGCACCCTTAACCCCCTTGTTGTTCAAGACGCAACTGTATTTACTTTTTCTTTTTACAACATTTCCTTGGAGTTCACGTCATACCCTTGAACCCCCATTACCTGACATCAGCTTTACATGGTGTCCTTTGATCCCAGCTGTTAAAGGTGAGGACACCTGTGTACTTATACTCCTGTCCCCTTTCCACCCCCTTCTGTGGTTAGAGGGTACCGTTGCTCTGTGCCTGGGGCTTGTACTGTTGGCATCTGGTCACATCGCCACAATCGGTCAGTCTGGTCTCCCGGATAAATAGGGTCAGCACTCACCACCAGTTCTTTTGCCTTAGTTTCCCGTCATCTGAAAGTCGGCCCTCGAGCCTGGGGCCTCGGGGAGCGGCGCTCCTGGAGTTCCCGCACGTGCCCGATGGCCTGTCTGTCGCCTTTCTACTTGACTGAGTTAAAAAACCATCCCTGGGTCACTTTGTTTCCTTGAGGCCTTCTGCAGACCTTGTTCTGTTCTCGTGTGGAATGTTGCCATGGAGAGGCTGGAGTCTGATGTTCCCTTCTTTATTTTGATCTTTCATGTCATTACTTTACCAGCATGTGTCCGGGGACTGACAGTTCAAGTCTGTTTTTCCTGGAACACAGTACTGCGCC